TATTAAAGCCCTCGTATGCATAGCAGCCCAAAATCCCCAGAAAAATAACTCTACAAACGGTAAGTTTATCATTTCTACTTCTCTTGTTTCAAATATTAAACCTTTATTTCACTTAGCACATATAAAAATAACTTTTTGAAGCTACCCTACTTTTCACACGGCACTCTAGTAAATAGAAAAATCCGTATTTTATTTCAAATTTAAATATTGATTCTACTTTTTGTGAAAACATAGGGGAGACATTGTTCTAAGAGTCTCTGGAATAAGTAAGTTTTTCACTGCTTTTATTAGCACAAACAAAGCCTCCAAAAATGGGCTAAATTCGATCTTAAAACGACGCTAATTATGCGTAAATTGAGCCATTTTATTGAATTGAGTTTTATGCGCATTTGATCATATGTAAATGCAATTTGCGCACTACAAATATGAAACTATTATTATTATTATTATTATTATTTTCTCAAGAACAAAGAATTTTTCAACAAACTAGATATGTCTTGGTAATTTGGTAATATCAACTAAGTTGAAATTGTAAATTGGTCACTGCAAAGAGTTAAAAAAGCTGACGTTTCGAGCGTTAGCCTTTCTTTAGCCCTTACATCTTCATATATGTCTTGGTTTGTTTTACCTATAGGCCTACCTAACACTAGAATGTGAGCCAATTCGATTTTTTGACTGTTGTCTGCGAATGTTTAACTCTTCGTGACAACCTCTGTTAAGCAGTAGTGAAAATGACGACTGAAAAAAACTCAGGCCTGTACTGGATTCCAACTCATGACCTCTGGGATACCGGGCTGCACTGGTTAACTGGCATTGCAGTGGTCACGGGTTCGAATCCCGTACAGGCCTAAATTTTTTTTAGGCCTCATTTTCCCTATTGCTTACGTAGTGTTCGTCACAGCGAAGATAGCTCTCATACCCAGTAATGGATAAGTTGCAATTTAAATGCGACTTGCATAAACAATTATCTTTGGAAAAGTTTCCGTAATTTGAACGTAATTTTAAGTTGGTCATCGAGCAATAATTGCACAGTGAAGGTCATGAAAATACTTAGTTGATATTATTGTACGACTTCATGGCCTCATGCACCATGAGGTTCTCTTCAATGCTTTACGCTTTTAATTACTTTATCGTTCTGCAGGAGCTTTTATTCCAATAAGATCCGCACAGTGACCAACGAACAATTCAAAGATGTCGCCCCAACTATTCGATTCTTGTGAGTTTGACTAAACTGATAATATTCCAGGTGTGTTCAAACT